ATGAATCACATTTACCGAATGACATTTGTAATAGAATCCATATTATTTTGTTTTCAAAATTTGTCTCCATTTTTTTTTCTTAACATTTTTCCGCCAACAAATTTTCTTTTCTCCATCATCATAATTGTAGAGATATAATATTCATCTATTTTTCCCTCTCTTTCTCTCATACACATTTAGACAAACTAAATCTTATTTCATCTTTCCAATTATCGATGTCTAGCCATGAATAGGTGTATAGTGTAGGTAATATTACAAGTGGCTCAAAAAATTGTTTTGTTTTGTTTTGTTTCGTGAAAAAAAAGAAAGAAGCCGACATTGTCGTTTTTTCGTTTTGATCATGATGAAAACTGTCCATTTTTTTCTTTGATTTCATCAAAAAAATATAGAAAAAATTAAGTCTCCAAAGTACATATTGAAACCACATTTATATATCCATTCAGATAAACATACAGCCTATATATTACATTCATTTTTTTTTCTTTAATACAGACTCTATTATTAATAAGGCGTTTCACGCGTGTATTGAATGATACTGGTAATATATCTATCTCTAGCTCTCTTTTTCACTGGCCTTCGATAATATTCATGACGACGACGACGACCAAGACGTCGTCATCATCATCATCATCATCATCATCTTCGTCGTCAAATGAATATCTGAAAATGAACCTTTTAACAGAGAAACAGAAAACCGAATCTTATAAATGTTTGTGTGTGTGGGTAATAGAAATGATTATAAAAGAAATAGGTAGATAGGACATCGATGCGAAAATTTATTTCTTGAATGATCATGATGATGATTATGACGGTGAAGAAAGAGAAAAAGAAAAAGAAATGTCAAATCGAATTTTTTTTTTGATGTTTGTTGGCGCCAACAATATTATTTCGGTAGCAATGTGTATAGGTAATGGTAACACGCCTTCATCTATTTTTTCCTTTCGTCTTCATCGTCGTCGTCGTAGTCGTCATCGTTCTCATTAGCCATCAATCCGACCGTAAATAGTAAACGATGTATGGTGACCATCGAACACACACAGTAGCACAAAATTGTGGTCAGACTTTTTCATATAAGATATTTTTTTTTTAATATGAAAAAGTTTAAGCCGAAAAAATTTAATGATGAGTTTCTTGAGATATTTTTTTTCTCTCTCCATCATTATTATATTATTTTGATTTCTTGATGTGAAGAATAAATGCTGGTAACTGTGCTATTGTAATGATGGTGTTATATTTAAATCTGTTTTGGTTGTTTATTTGAAAAGGATAACCGATAATTTTATGATTGAATTTTTTCGAAGAATTGAAAAATAAAAAATAAAAACTAATTATGATTGAAAACTTAATAATCATTTGGTTATTTACAAAAATTTTTTGATCATCATCATCTGAATGATCATTCATTCATTCATGGTGATGACCGATTATTTGATTGATTTTTTTTTCTTTGATTGAAAATTTTAAAATGAAAAAAAAATTAGTTTTTGAACGGAAATGGACCATGGAATTACTTTTTAAAAAGTAATTGAATTTTTTTTTTGAAATTATTATTATTAGATATTTAGTTTAGACCTTGGAGCATTAATTAAAGGGATAAAACTTTTTGTTGTTGTTGTTGTTATTATTGCTGATGTCCTGTATGCAAGTGATATAAAGGTAAGATCAATAAATTGATTGATTCGTGTTTTCTTTTCTGTTTTGGCCCAAAGATCATACAAAGTTATAATTTTACCGAAGAAACAACAACAATAATAATTGTTTCAACAAAGAGAAATTTTCAGGTAGCAAATGTTTTGGGACTAGCCGGTCACGGTGGCCAGAAAAAAAAATCATCGATGATGATGATTACCTATGGTTTGTTGCTACCAACGTTTAGCTCAATTTTTGTTTTCCTGGAACAACAATACCATAACAAATTTGAATTTGATGATGATGAAGAGAGAGAGAGAGAAATTTTTTCTTTTACAACTCCGGTTCCCATCACTATCATCATCATCATCATCGATTTGTGGTTTTGGTGATAATTTTTTTACAAAGTATATCTACCGACAAACCAGAAAAAGAAAGAGAATGATTGAACATGAAAAAAATTGATTGATTCCTTTTTTTTTGTATTTTGATTTGTTCATCGATGATGATGATCATGGTTATTTGACATAAACCAAAATGTATACAATAAACACACGTTTAAAATGACGGATCAACACTTTAATTACTAATAGTTTTGTTTGCCATTGTTTGTGTGTGTGTATTTTTTCCAATTTGGCAACCCGATCCTATCATTATCATCATCATCACTATCGATCAATGATAATAATTTTTTCCAGAACAGAAGCTTATCGTCATTATTATTGTTGTTGATGTGAATATTTGTGGTAGTGTGGAAAGCAACAGAACAGTGAAAAAAAAAGATACTTTTGTTATTGGAAATAATTTCCATTTCGTTGTTTTTTTTCCAATTCGCACTTTGTTTTTTTATTCGTTGTTGTTGTCGATCATTTTGTCTCTATTTTCGGTTGATAATCATTACCATTATCATTATTTTTCAGTAAAAAAAAAATTCAGTTATCACGTTTTTCATTTGATTCTTTCAATGTTTTACACTTTAGTTATTTACAGAAATTATTGTTTGTTGTTATTGTCAAATAGTAAACATGTCATTTTAATTTTTTGTTTTTATTTCCATTATGTAAAAAAAATTTGGGAATGAACAACAACACTTGATTTTTAAGATAATGATCAAACAACTATATAAATTCTTTTGACTAAATGAATTTAACTATCGATGAACGATAATGTAATGTATTTCGTAACCGTGGTTGTCAATGTAGTTGTTGATGATAATTATGATGATAATGATTACGTAGAATGGCGCCAATAAACCAATCATCAGAATTGAAATTGAATACCACAAATATTCATTCAAATGAATCATTAGGAAAATAGAAAGAGATAATAATTCATGATGAATGTTGTTGAATAACATCATCATCATCATCATCATCATCATAGAGGTAAGAAAAAGAAAAACTCATTACATTTCATGTAATGAATCGTTTGCTTCGTTATGATGATGACATATTATCATCATCATAATCATCATCATTAAGTAGTTGTCATAGTTAGTTAGTTAGCTATATCTTTCCATTCCAATAAGAGAGAGAGAGAGTAATTTGCAAAATTTGTCGGCCTAACCAAACGTACTCACACAAACACTTATTACAACCGATTAAAGATGAAAATGGATAGAAGAAAAAATTGGCATTTATTTTAGTTTCTTTCGGTTTTGAAAGAAAAAAACATTAAAATAACCACTAAAAAACGACAACAACAACAACATTTATTCAAGATAATCATTTGATGAATGAGCCGATCATTTTCTCAATGTCCATAGATAGTATTAGATATTACCTGTGTGTGGATGGGTAATTTTACACACACACACACACATTACATTGAAATACTTAGACAACATCAGTCAGGTGGAAAATACAGAAAGAAAAATAGCAACAACAACCACAACAAAAAATGTCACTTGAATATAATATGTTGAATGTTCAATCATCATCATCATCGGATGATGATGATGATGATCTTTTTTTGGACCATTAATCGCACATTCATAATGATTCAAAAGAAACGAAAAAGCTTAAAATGAATGAATGAATGAATGGATAATAATAATTTTGCCTTTAACCAATTGATCAATTTTGATGTTACCCGTTTTTTTTCGAAAAAAAAATATTTTAAAACATACATGAGAAAAAAAATTGCCGCAAGTTAGTATCATTTTTTTCAACAAAAAAAAAAATTTCCTTTATAAAATTCCATCAATCAATCAAAATCATTATGTCTATATGATTGTTGAACAATATATAAACAACGATACAAACAAAAAAAAAACACACAGAGAAAAATCCATTCAACCGGTAAACTGGACAAAATAATAACAATTTTCAACAGAAAAATAGTTTCCATCTTCAAATGATTCGAATTCTGATTCATTCAATTGCTTTTGCCCAAAATGAAAACAAAAAAATTCAAAATGTCAAACCATAATTTATTTAGATTAATAATAATAATAATAATAATTAAAAATGATGACAATAATAATAATAATAATAATAATAATCACTATACACCTTTCCAACACACAAACACACATCGTAAAAACCAATACAAATCATTCAATTGAGAATAAAATTGATAATGAAATTAGAATGAGAACAAATTTGATTACAATGTTTGTTTTTTTTGTTTTGTTTCTTCAATGATGAATGAATTAAACGAGAGAAAGAATAATGAGAATTTCAATTTATTTTTGGTTGTCGTATTTTTTTTTTATATCCAATGATGAAAATTATTATTATGAAGAAATATTAGATAAACTTTTTGTTATTTATTTGTGTGTGTGTGTGGGTTTGTGAAAGTTATTATTGTTTTTTAATAGAAAAAAAAGATCATAATTCATATTATATAATGTAAGTGAAATGGAAAATTATTATTATTACACACACAGAGAGGAGATGATGAGAGACACGCCACAGCAAAAAAAAATCTAATCAATAATTGGACATTAATGAGGATAATTAATAATAAAGAATAAAGATGATGATGACAAGAAAATTAACGATTTTGTTTTGTTTTTTTTATAATGCATTCTAATAATACAGTGTTTGTTTATTATCAAAATGATGATTGAAAATTTGGAATTGGATGAAAAAATTTGCAAATAAAATGTTTTTTTTTGTGTGTTTGTTTCTTATTTAGTTAATGAGATGAGAAAAATTATTCAAAACTATCAGATTTAATGATTTGGATTTATTTACAGACGATGTTCATTTAAATTCGAATTCGAATATTCGGATATTTCGACTAAATGGTGAATGATTATGTTTATTTGGGTTTCGTTTTTTGAAACTCATTTTTTTACATTTCTTTATTTTGGAAACTTTTACCTATGAAGATTTTTTTTTATATTGATAACTCATTAATGGAGTTGTTCATTTAAATGTGCGCAACTTTTCACATCATACAAGTTCCAGTTTATTCTATTTTTTCTTCCTTATTTAGCTACAATACTGTATATCATTTGAGCTCAAGGCACATGTTTATTTATTAGAATTTTTATTACGATCTTTTCTGTATTCAATCTTTACTGGTCAATAATGCTGGTGAACCACTTGATCGAACGGATTTTGTGGCGGGTGGTGTCATTCTTGATGAATGACGATGATGATGATGATTATGATTATGTTCAGGACTGGAATCACCTGCTATAGCCGACGTCGGTGATGATGATGATGATGATGTGGATGATGATCGTGGTGATGATGACTTAATTTTCATATCTAAACTATTGTCACCCATGTTATTCGTTTTAGGTATCAATAAACCACCCATAGATCTTCCATTTTCAAATATTGATGATGATGATACTCGATCTCCAATCGATTGATGTGGTAAATTCAATCCACTTAGATACAATGGATTGAAACGAGCAATATTTGCTGCTGTTGATGTCATATATGGTGATGATGACGTATTTGTCATAAGGGATGATGTTGAGAATACTGATTGATTGGTTAATGATGATGTTGTTGTTGATAATGTTACCGGTTGAGTTATCGGTGTTGTTATTGTTGTTGTTGTTAATGGTGATGATGATGATGATAATGACAATGGCGGTGATTGAATTGAAACAGGTGAATTGGAACCATGCTGATTATTGATGGTTGTTTGTTGTTGTTGTTGTTGTCCATTTCCAATTATTGTTGATGTTGTTGTCGTTGATGATGATGAAGAGGTTGTTAATGTTTGCGGACTAGGATGTTTTTGTTGTAATGCTGCAGCCGCTTGTCGATAATAAATATCAAATGGTGTTGATCCAGCTTGTGTAGCTGCGGCAGCAGCAGCAGCAGCATTATTTGATAATGTTGGATTCGAGGCAGCAGCCGCAGCTAATGCAGCCGTTGCTACATTACCATATTGTGATAACCAATATGGTGATGTTTGTAACATACGTTGTACAGCAGCATAATTTCCTGCTTCAGCTAATAATTCAAGACCAACGGCTGTTTGTCGTTTCCATTTGGTCCTATGAAAAAATAATTCAAAAACAATTATGAAATTATTAGTTGTTGTTTTTTTAAATAAAAATATAAAATTCATTTATTTATTTATTCATTCGAATAAATCAAAAATGATAACCATAATCATCATTATCGAATTATACAATTATTGACCATAACAAAATAACTCAATTATGGTTGATTTAATAGTTTCAAACACAGGCTAAACACAGTTTAATTTTTTGTTGAAAATACATAAGAAAAAAACTTTTGACAGAAAAAAAATATTTGATGTGTCTGGCGCCAATCGGAAAATCATCATCATCATCATCAAAATCATTATTGACAAGTATTGACCGATTGAAATGACCAATATGAATTATTCTAACTGGCAAATACAATTGAATACATTCAAACAACAAAGAAAACCAATCACCAATCATCATTTATTTTTTATTTCGTTCGACTTGATTGAATTTGAAACGAAACAAAATTGTGTATGTGTTGATTTGTAAATTAGTTTATAAAATGAAGACAAAATAATAATAATAATAATAAAAATGAATTTTCATCACATTTGTCGGTTGAATGGTTCATCCATTCTAATAAAGATCGATATTGGGTCAATTTATTTGCTTGAAAAAAATGGTTGCCGTTGTTTTTTTCTTTGATTGAACATCCAACAACAATAATAACAAAAGCTAAATATTTAACAAACGAAATCTTTAAACTGAATGTATCTATTCGAATACAATTCAAAATCATTTGCTGATCATTATTCTGATCATCATCATCATTATTATTTGATGAACATCAACACAGACAAATCATCATCATCCTTCGTTATTTGATGAAAGGCCATAATTTAATCGTCAATTTTTTTCCTACTAGTCTTGTCTGGACATTTATTTCGTTCATCATCATCTTACCCTAGGTTCGGTTTTCTGCTGTTGTTGTTTTTTTGTTCGCTTAAATTTTTGCATTTTGTTTTTTTTTGCAAGCAAAATTGATCATTTCACCAATCGACCGAATGGTTATTCTCTAACAATTCTAAGCATCTCTATTGTATAATCAAATAGATTATATCCATAGATAAAGATAGTTGTTGTTGTTGTTATCATTGTTTATTATTATTGCCATTGGTGCATCATCATCATTATCATCATTTCAGATTCATACTTATGTCAATCAAAAATAGATAATGTTTCATAAATTCAATTATCAATAATAATAATAATAATAATAATGACTACTGCACACAATAGATTATCAACCACAAATATAACCCTGTTGTCAATCAATTGATTGATTATTTTCGGCAATTTTTTTTGTATTTTTGTCTTCTTCACATATCTTATCATAAGATAAACTAAATTCATACATTTTGCCATTTGGTCATCATCAATTATGAACAATGATGATGACCAAATGGCTATATATCAATACAAAATCATAGGTCAATAGGCTTTTAATCATCGATTTGCGATTAAAGATTTCTGTTTTGTTTATCTGGTCAAAGAATTTTTTTTTTTTGCAAAACAAGGTAAATTAACTAAATCCATATGCCTGTGCAAAGTATTTTTTTATCTTAACAATTTTTTTCTTAAATCATTTTATGTTTGCGTGGAAGATATGTTTTTTCCGATGATCATGTTGATGACTGATTGACTGACTTATTTTTTTTTCTCTCTCTCTAGTCCCTTTCAAAAAAGTCAAGCTTGGATGGTCAATAACACCATCATCAACAAAAATAATCGGTAAAGGTAACATTGAACACAGAAAAAAATGGGAAAAAAACCTATGGCTATGATGAACTGCATGAAAACAAAAATGATTGATGAGCTTCATTTGTCTGTTTTTTTTTTAATTTTATTATTCACATGATGAGGATGATTAACCCGAAATTTTTCATTTTTTTTCAATCTTTTTTTGTTTTGTTTTTATTGTTCACAAACGTACTCTAACCATATATGACAATCAATGAAATAAATGAATCGATTCAAAACAAAAACAATCGTTACAATGCTTACCTTCTGTTTTGATACCATGTTTTTACTTGTGTATCCGATAGATTTAATTTGGCCGCCAATTCCATACGATCTTGAACGGATAAATATTTTTGTCTTTCAAAACTTTTTTCCAATGTCTGTAAAAAGGTTGAAAATGCAGAAAAAAATTGATAAATTCAAAATTAAAAAAATCAATCAAAATAAACACTAACCTGTAATTGATGATCAGTAAATGCTGTACGAGCTTTTCGTTGTTTCTTTTGCATCTTTAATTCTGGTATAATACGATTAGCTTGTTGTTGATTATGATGAAATCTTGATTCACCAGTAATATTGTCATTGTTTCCAACTGAAAATTGAAAAAAGAAGAAAAACAATGTAGAAAAATATTTGATTAATAATTGTTTTCATCAGAATAAAGTGAACAAATCAAGGTTGACAACAACAACAACAAAAACTGATGACAAATTCAAGTGTGATAAAAGGTGTACTCAAACAAAAAATAAACAAAGTTTACATACAGAAATTGTTATCATTAAAACAGGTAATCATTTTTTTTCAGCAAACAAACAAACAAAAAATCTCATTCGACCATCGATAATTCCAAATACAAAAATATCTTTGATTCTTTTTTAAATAAGTTGATATCAAAATCAAAATCAATATTAAAAAAAACGTTTATCAAATACACGGCAACAAACACGGACACAATGACAACAACTTAGCAAATAATAATTGTTTGTTTCGATATATAAAATATTATTTCAGGTGGAAAAAAAGTATGTGGGGGAGAAAATAATAATAATGATTTTTGATTTATTTCATCTCTTCAAATCGTTTTTTTTATTTGTTGCCTGAGATCTTGATTTGATAATCAATAATATTTTTCTCTCTCTCAATTTTCATTTCTTTTTGATGTCGACCGACGACTATACTTTTTTTTGGAAATCAATCAAATTGATGATAATTGATTGGGCAAATTTAATAATTTTATTTTAATTGATTGATTGATTGATTTAAAAACGATTAAATGATATTTATTGAGCAAATCACTTTCTCTCTCTCTTGATTTTCTGGGTTGGTGTGTCAACACAATTCAATGCTTTGTCAATTACCTTGCTTTTTCAAATATTTTTCCTGGTTTCCTGATTTTTTTTCTTCTTCTTTGCATTTGTAACTTTCACATTGAACACATAATCAAAGACATAATAATAATCATTTATTGATAATTAATAATGATATGCATTCAATGAAAAGAGAAAACAATCGTTTGATTATAAATCGATTGATCTCTAAAGTATTTTATCTAAATAATAATACTAATGTACACACAAACAAAGTTATCGATAACTAATTATCCATTTATATCAAATAGTAACCAAATCAATCCATTGTGTGTTTATGTGATTTTGATCATGATTATGATTATCATCGCCCGTACACTTGAATGAATTTAATCAAATTGTTACTGTTGCTTTTGATGCTGTTGTTGTTAGACATTATCACTCTCTTTTGATTTGATTGATTTTATATACTTTTTAAAAATCTATTTTTCTTTTTAATTGGTTGAACTGAAAAAAAACAAAGAATACATTATGTTTTTTGTTTCTTGATGTTAAAAGCTAAAAATTTCAAATGAGAAAATGAAAATTTAAATTGGGGAAAAATAAATTGTGTCAGGTTGACCGTCGTCAATCATATTTGCCATAAGCATGATATTTATTTTTCATTTACTTTTGATTTGATTTGATTAAAATTTGTGTGGCGTGTTTGTCGACAATTAAATCATAATTACAATATGATTTCTATGTATTTTTTTTGTTGTTTTGTTTACCTGTTTTTGTTCATTCACATCGACATACACACAGGGGCCATGATTTATAAATGAAGAAAACAAAACAATTATTCAAAAGTTTTTGTTTGTTTTGCTAGGAAAAATTTTCCATTCATATTTATAATTAATAATTAATGTGATGGGATAAATCACATGCCTGTGAAGGAAAGATACAATTTTTTAAAAAAACAAAAAAGAAAGAGAAGAAATTCAATGAATCAAAAACAACGGAAGGGAAATTTGAAATTTTATTTCATTTTTTTTGTCATCTTTTACAATCAAAACTTGAATGTTGATCGATTTTTTGGATTGAATTTTCAAAACCGAGATTAATGTTGAAACCGAAAAAAAATTGCAGTTAAATGAATTCAATTTAATCAAATTTTGGTACAAAAACTTTTTTTCCTGAAAATTGACAACGACAAATGTTTGAAGGACAAAATATTTTGCATTCATATTTCTCAAGTCCAGAAAATATGATTGAAATTGATTTTGACATAGAGAGAGAAAGAGAGAGATTTCTCTTTTTGTATTCGGTATATATGGAGATTGAGAAAAACCACAAAGAGGGAAAAGAATAAGCGGATGCAAATCTATCTCCACTAATTGCGTGACCAAAAATCATTATTACAACGACGATGACGATAACAACAACAATGATGACGACAGCAGATATAACTCTCATACGATTTTTATTGAAAGAATGAAAAAATAGCCGAAATCAATGCTTTTTTAGATTTAGCGAAAAAGGTTAGGTGGTTTGTTGTTGTTGTTATTGTTAAATATGAAACAATTGAGAGAGATAAAATGAGAGAATAAGATAAAAGTTAAAACAATAATCACAGTATAACCGCAAACTATTAAAACATTTTTGCTCACTTTATTTATCACTGCCGTTATGAAACAAACACGCAAAAGTTTTTTCTCAAAAATATCCCAAATATTCATTCATTCATTGTTATTATTTTCATCATAATTTCCTGAATCATTTTTCATTTTTTTTGTTGTTGTTGTTGTTGAAAAGCTTAAAGCTTAAACTTATTCGAATGTAATGAGAAAATTTATTGTTACCATTTATCATTTTTTTTGTTTCTTTCGTATTCATCAAATTGAAAAAAAAAGATTTTTTTTTAAATAATTTCAAGCAATCATTTTACCAACCACAAACACAAATTGATAGAATTCAAAACTAATAATAATAATAATTTTTTTCTCCTAGATTTCTCAATGGGAGATTGTTGTTTAATTGGTGTTTGTTTGTATACACACAAAACAAACATCAGAAGCACTAATAGTACAACTAACCTCAAAACTAATTAGAGTCAAACAGATAGAAACACACCTAACACATTTATTGATAAATTTTTTTTTAGCAAACACTTTTAAAAAGTTTCATTTGTTTGTTTATTTAATACTGCTGTTTCAATTTTTTTTTTACTGAAAAATATTTACAATTTTAACTTGTTAAATGAATTATAATGATGATGATGATGAACGTAAAGAGAAAATTATCATTTCAGAAAAAGGTGTTTTTCTCTTTTGTTCTAGGTAAAAAATTCATTTTTTCCCTTATTGTCAATACTGAATTTTGAAAGATAATAATGATTGTGGTGTAGCAAACAAACAGAAAAAACAAACATGTCATTTAGTCAATCAATCAATCAATAAAACGGTCGGCCGGTCAAATCGATCGATTTAGAAAATTTTTTTATTAATCATAATTAATTGAGAAAAAAATGATGAAAAGTTATCAGAAAAGTTTTTTGTTTGCATATCGACACCTTGTAATTATTGTTAAAATTCAATCATTTAAATTTAATTATGAATATTCAATTTTTTTTGCGAGTTTTTGTTTCGTCATTTTGACATTGGCGGATTTATTGATTCTTTTTTTTCATTGTTGTTTTGCTTCAATGCTCGTCGGTTGTGTCTGTCAATATCGGGATGACAGACTTTTGAAAATTTTGTTTGGAAAAAAAAATTATCATTCCTATTGATATTGTTATTGAGAAACCGAAACAAAAATTCTCTCATTCACTTTGTGAACTATGTTTGCTTGAAATTGATCTTTTATCAAAGAAAAAAGTGATTATCATTTGTCGGTAATGTTGGCTATCGGCCATAGAGAGATTTTTATTCGCATAATCATCGGAAAAAAATCAATAATCTCAAGAGAACTTGATCGAAAGGGATTTTATTTCAGTGAAATCAATTTTTCTCTGATTGTTTTTTTTTCGTAATCATATGGAACAAAAGTGAAATTTTATTTTCGGCAGATTTTCATTTCTTTCACTATCAGAATGTTTAATTGTTTGGGTTCGTAATTATACTAATTACCATTTTGTCGGTATTAAAATAAACATTTTATATCTCAAACAAAAAAAAATATTCAATCTTCATGTTTTTTTTTCATAATTTATTTATCTATTTTTTGTTTGTTAAAAAAGAAAACTTACCTCTTTCATCTTCACCGTCATTAGATGAACAAATATCGTCATCCATACCATCATTATCCATATCACAATCACTATCTCCAGCAATTGTACTATTATTTGATGAATTTAATGATGATGCAGCAGCAGCAGCCGCAGCGGCAGCTACTGCAGCATTCTGTATTTGTTCCATTGATAATGGTACATTTGTAAGTGCACCAAATGCAGTCATCGATGATGATGATGGTGGCTGTGGTGGTGGCGGTCCTGATAGTGATAATGATGGCCTAATTGATCCTGATAATGATGGATGAGATAATAGATTCATTTGGTTGAAAAAATTTGCTGCAGTTGCTGATGAAGGAAAACTGTTATTGGACATTAATAAACCATTTGTTGGATTATTCGGATCATTATTGTTATTATTATGATTAGTAGAATTTTGATGTGAATTTGGCTTTGATGCGGCTGCCGCTACGGCTGCTGCAAATAAATTATAAGCATTAGCTGATGCTGCTGCAGCTGCTGATGCACGTAATGAAAGATCATGTGCATTTATCATTGTTGTTGATGTTATTGATGATCCACTATGTTGATTTGGTGATGAATGATTTTTCAATATATCATTGATAAAAAATGATGATTTTCTTTCATTATCCATCATTATATGATCAACATCATCACCATTACCATCATTATGATCATCATCAACTTCAAGTTCAGAATCAGAATCTGTTTTACTATTATTATTATGATTATTTATTTTATTATTATTATTCGATGATGGTGATAATTTAGATCTTATTGATGAATGATCATTAACATTATCATCTTCACTGCTTGAATGACTTTCTGGCCGTAATGATTTGGATGATTGTTGTGCGATTGTTGTTGTTGTTGTTGTTGGTGATGATGATGAAGATATTATGGTTGCCATTGATGAATGTTGTGATAAAGGTGGTGATGATGATGATGAAAGATGTTTAAAATTTAAATGATTGAATGCACTAAGATGATGATGATGAGGATGAGAATGTCCAACACCAATCTGTGGTATGATATTTGGATGTAAAAATTGTCGTATTGTTGAATGATGATGATGATGTGAATGATGATGAAGTTGATGTGGATGATGACCCATAGTTAATAATGGTCCACAATGATCATTTGTTGCTGATGATGGTGGTACCGAACTAGTCATCATTTGATTAATAAAATCCAAATTATGACTAACAATATAATTAGGATTGTTATTAGTTTCTGATGTTGTTGTTGTAAATGATTTTGATTTTTTCTTCTTCGTATTAATATTATCGGAAACTGAATTTGACGTTGATGATGATGATGTCGTTGTTGATGAAGATGATATACGTCGACAACGTTTTAATCGATTATTATTATTATTATTACTGCTATTATTTATAATTGTTAAATTTGTATCATTTGATTCATTATTATTATTTGGTATGGATATATCAATAGTCATGATGAAAAATTAATTATTAATTATAAACTAATTACGGATGATATGTATGCAATAATTGCCAAAAACACACAAACACACACAAAACACGAACACGAATCAACAACACAAATGCAAAATATTAATGAATTAGAATAAGTGTCAACAAAAATCAATGTTGTTTTTGGTTGTTGTTTGGTTCCGTTTTCGAAAATATGATATGAAATGAAATGTAAAAAAAATCGAATGGGAAAAAATTCAATGTTTTATTTTTAAAGAGAAACAAAAATCATGACAAAATGTTTTTCCAACAACCAAATGATCTCGAGCAAGAGTATGAGTGAGAGATACCTGTGTGTTGATGACTATGATCACCATCGACAATAATGATAATGATGATGGATAAATAAATAGCATAGACTCTGTTGTTTTTTTGTATGATTTAGTTGTTGTTATATGTTTTAAAGGTGTAATTGATACGACTTGGTTTGATTTGAATCAAATGATTGAATGATAGAAGGTATATAATTTTTAAGGGCATCAAGCAACAAAAAATAACGAGAAAAAAAAGAGATAGCAATATAGCAGATAAAGAAAGAAAGAGATATCATTACACACAAACAAACGTCATATACAAAACACAGCCGCTAACATCACATATAAAATACAGACAATCAATTTTTTTTCTCTCTTTCGTTCTTCATATTTCAATGCTTTTTTTGACATTGTATTGTGTGTGTGTATGTTGTACAAGCACCGCCTTTTAATAAATGATTTTCATCAACCATTGGTCATTGTGCGATGATTAGGACCGCCCATTTTTCCATTATTTTTTCTCTCTTTCATTTTGTTGCTGTTTTTTTTTCGGAAATACTTTTCTTGCTTATAAAATGAATTTCTTTTCATCATTTTATTCACGAAATATTTGCTTATTTTATTTTTCATTAGATTTTTGTTAGTTACATTAATAAATCGTTTAGTTATTATTGTATACATACTCTAATTGGCTACTATTCAAGCGTTATTATACACATATGATATGAATGAATTGGAACAGCAACAACAACAACAAAAATTGGTTTTCGATAAATAAAAGATGAAAGAGAGAAAAAAAGGTGGTAGCAATGGTGGAGTCTGTGTTTTGTTATATATATTTTTTGAAAAAAAATGTGTTGGCTTCTTGTCTTTTTTGTTGTTGTTTTGTTTCATTTATTTGATGGTAGTGGAAGATATTTGTGCCTCGAATATCATTGTTTTACTTTTGTGTATAAATTTTGATATTCGATTTATGGTAATCACTGAATAATATGAACATTTCGAGTATGTTATTGATTAAAATAACAAAAAATTAAAATGAAAAAAAACAAGAAAATATGGGTGGTGTTTGTCAACAATTAACGACAATTACAATGTTTGATATTTGGAGAATGAATAATGGAAGAACGAAATAGTGATGCAAAATAGTAATTACAGTATTTTTGATGCAAAAAAATTCCATTTTCATTCAATTGAATCAACGATTATCGATTATCATCATTCAAAATATGCAATGTGATCGGTTGTTTAAAAAAACAAGATTTTGCTTTTGAAATGGAAACACAACACACACACACACACACATATAGAAATGGTATTTTCTTTCTTGTCAAATATTTTTTTCATATAAAAAAATATTATAACAAAAAAAATGTCTAATTTTTTCGACCAAGATGGATGGATTTTAAAGTTAAGTAAAATAAAGTATGGCAAAGCTTTTTTTAAGGCGAAAGAATATTAACAACAACAAAAACGAACGTAATGTATAAGAAGAAGAAGAAAACAAAAATTATGATCAATTTTACAACAAAATTATGTTTTTCTCTTCTCGAATATCTTTATAGATGTAGCTTTTTATTCGAAAAGAAAAGAAAAATCTTTTTATAATAATAATGATTTTGGAGAAAAAAAAACTTTTATATTTATCATTATCATCATTGAAGTTAAGAGTTTGAATTGAATTGAAAACAGTTTGCACAAAGTCATCTCTTTTACAGCCGATCAATGATGATGATGATGATGATGATGATGGTTCCATGCACAAATTTCCAATTATATTGAAAATGGTTATAATAAATATATAATATGGCTAAAAAACGATGATGATGATGAAAGCTTATTAGCTTACAGCAAAGAGTTTCTCTCTCTCTTTTTCAAGCTAGTCATTCATTGATCTTTTTATTTTCATATTGAAATCAAATCGAATAGATCGATGAATTGAGTGAATTTGAATCGTTGGCATCATCATCTATGATTATTCATTCAATTTTGTTGTTGTTGTTGTTGTTGTTGATAGCAATGTAATTTGGTATGCTAACATTATTCATTCGCAATCAATCAGCTAATCAAATTTCTCTCTTCTTCTTTTAAATAACCATCATTCAATTTGGTGTTTATTATTATTACTGATAATGTAGGATATATTTGTATATTAATGATAATGTTTCAGCAAAAAATGTTGTTTGAGAAGAAATTTTTTTCCTATTCATTTCGTTATGATTAGTTTTTTTTTGTCTGATAAAGTATTTTACATATTTCGATTTGAATAATTTTCCAAGAAACTGGTAAAATTAAGAATTTTTTTTCCAATAAGAATTGATTGGCAGCAAGACACAAAACTGAAAATTATTATGTAAAATTTACATAATTTGTTCCATTTTTTTCTCGCGAAAAAATAAAAATATTTCATTTTTTTTCTGATTAAAAATTTATTTAAATTAACATTGTTTTCCAAACCAGACCTTTTTCTTTGGTGGAAAGACGGGGGAATGAACAAAATAAAATAAACATTTCTGACAACAACATCGAATGGATGAAAATGGATGAAACAAAAAAATCGATTTTATTTTAAATGGAAAAATCAATGTCAATTTAAACGTTTTTCAATGAAACAAAACAGAATTTTATTTTATTTTCGTTCATTTTATTTTCTGGAAAAAAAACAAAGATTATACAATAATCATTATCATTATCATTATTTCGATTCAATAGTTGATCGATAATAAAAAACAATTGTTTTTGTTTTTATTTTTGTTGTTGTTTTTTAACGAACATAACAAACATTCTTGCTAGGTTACTTGCAATCAATAAAATGATAATGATAATGATGATCAAATTTATGAAAATTTAAATTTTTTATTATGACAGATGAGTTATTATGAATATTATTTTTGTTTTTGGTTTTGTTTTTCCTATTTTTTTTTTTGTTTCGAAATCAAAAAATAAGTCACTTGAGACATTCATTCATTCATTTATTTTCTTTATCGGTACAATTCAATTTAACAATAGATTTTTAATTCTGAATTCTAAATTCTTCAAAGATTGATTCAATTCGTTGGTTGAAGTGAAAAAAGACGGCAAAAAAAAGCACCGAAAATAAATAAAACCAATTCGTTTTCGGCGTTTTTTTTTTTGCTTTTTGGTGGTTGGTTGGTTGACGGGCCTGTCTTATGAATATTCAGCAGAGATACAATGTTTTTTTTGGAGTTAAAAAAAAGAAGAAGAAAATTTTCAAGAAAAATTTAATCGATTGCCGCCGCGCGTCACCAAGAAGAAGAAAATATTTGAATCGAATTTGTGTAAGAAGAAAAAAAACAAAAACAAACAAACAAACAGAAAAATCAATTTTCCAAGTAAAAAACAAACAAAAATACAAAGAAAATAAATAAAGAAAAAAGAGATTTGATAATACCCGAATGAATAAACCAATGGTTAAAGGCGTGTGTCATCATCATCATCATCATTATAATTTGATTTTAAATTATTCATCATCGATAATAATCATTGAAATTAAAACCCAAATTAAAGAATGAATGAATGAATGAATAAATATGCAAAACAAAAACAAAAAAATTTAGTAACAATGTTTGTAGCAGGAATGAAAAAAAAATAGAACGAACCGAAGAAAAACATACAGTCACAGTTACCTGGTAAAGGTGCAATTAGCCACAAAAAAAGAAAGCTAAATTACCTTTTTTATAATGAATAGGTTTTAGATGAATATTTTCTTTTATTCTTGGGCTCACTATTCACTACTCATCATCATCATCATTAGTAAACAAACAAAGGGTGATTGGTGAATTTTTTCTTTGGTTCCTCGTTATTCGATATATGATAATAAAAAAAAGTAATTTTTCTTCCGAAGAAAACTCTAATTACTCAATTATTTTCTATTT